GGTTTTCCTTAGATAGAAAACTTTGAACCAATTTGAGTGGATGATCTGGAGAAACTGTAAAGTGACCTGAGATGACTTGTGTTGTAAATTGGTGCTATAGAAATAAACTGAATTGAATTGATTGAAATATAAGTGTTGCACCAATACTGATACCAGTATCAGCTGGAGCCCTGATCCAGCACTAAAATGGTGGTATCGTCATCAGCGAGTACCAACTAATACAGCATCGATATCATCTTGAGTGCCAAAAGTTTCTTCAACTATTGTCACCCATTCCAGGAAGGCAATAAAAAGTTCTACTGGATCACTTATTCTATTATTTTATGCACTTTTTAAGCTCCATTTCTGTGTGACCACTTTAGCTGTAATCTTAGCTGCTGTAATGCCATTATTTCCCCAGTGTGGGACAACAAAGAGTTTCTAATCTATGTAGTGTATATCTGCAGTTTATTCGGTAATGTCTCCAAAGCTCTGATGCCTTCAGGAAGTTCTCCCTCCATCTGTGATGTCATCAGTCTGTTGATCTAAACTAAAACAGGCTGCAGTGCTGAGGCAGCCGCCTTCTGTTCAGCAGGCTAGTGGAGCAGGTCGACCTCCCCAAGATGGCGCCCGTAATTNGGACAACAAAGAGTTTCTAATCTATGTAGTGTATATCTGCAGTTTATTCAGTAATGTCTCCAAAGCTCTGATGCCTTCAGGAAGTTCTCCCTCCATCTGTGATGTCATCAGTCTGTTGATCTAAACTAAAACAGGCTGCAGTGCTGAGGCAGCCGCCTTCTGTTCAGCAGGCTAGTGAAGCAGGTCGACCTCCCCAAGATGGCGCCCGTAATTCCTGCGCCGCTACAGTCAATGCGGGGTCTGCTATTATATTATGTCTATTGTAATAATAAGCAGAGATGGCAAATAAACATATAAAATTAAAGATGATAACGAGAATAAATCTAATCATTAAAAACTACATTTCCCATGAGCACCGAGAGGAAGTGGACTACAGCAGCTCATAAAGCATGCTGGGTAAATTCTCTCTTTCTTTCCGGCTGGTGCGCCATCAAGTAAGCGAGACTTTTCTGTCCTGATGAAGGAACCTCAATCCATTAAAATCCTCCTTTATTCAGCTTCATCTGTTGGTTTTAGGTCAGAGGATCAGTTCAGAGGTTCTTCATCATCCAGACATCTGCTCTATTTTTGATAAATACTGTAAAAATAAGCATTAGGTGGTTGTTAGGTTGATGCCTCTTAGCCGCTAGCTGTTAGCATTGCTGTCGCTAAGCTACAGAAATTAAAGTAATCCACAATTTTTTTGTTTTATCTGATGTTTCATGGGTTGTAGTTTGAGTCGCTGTTTTATTATGTTAATATAACTTTAATAAGTGTAATGTTGGCTGCTGGAGGCAGGCGAGTTGAGCTTAGCGGTTAGCCTAGCCGCTGTGTTTGTAGCATGCTGGGAAACGTGGATCCTCTCAGAGGAGGAGTTCCTCTCTGATCCAGGAGATCATCTCTGCCTCTCCGGGTCCTGGTCCGGTCAGTAGGGCTGGCTCCAGAGCAGGGCTGGCTCCGGGTCGGCGGCAGGGCTGGCTCCGGGTCGGCGGCAGGGCTGGCTCCGGGTCGGCGGCAGGGCTGGCTCCGGGTCGGCGGCAGGGCTGGCTCCGGGTCGGCGGCAGGGCTGGCTCCGGGTCGGCGGCAGGGCTGGCTCCGGGTCGGCGGCAGGGCTGGCTCCGGGTCGGCGGCAGGGCTGGCTCCGGGTCGGCGGCAGGGCTGGCTCCGGGTCGGCGGCAGGGCTGGCTCCGGTCGGCGGCAGGGCTGGCTCCAGCAGCCATGTTCAGGCTGCAGAGGCTGACTGGGACTTCTTCTTCTTCTGCAGGTAAATAAACATGGGAGCCTACAGGTATATGCAGGAGCTGTGGCGCAAGAAGCAGTCTGATGTGATGCGCTTCCTGCTCCGGGTCCGCTGCTGGCAGTACCGACAGCTGTCCAACCTCCACCGCGCCCCGAGACCCACCAGGCCAGACAAGGCTCGCCGGCTGGGTTACAAGGCCAAGCAGGGTGAGTTCTGTTCTGGAGCTCCGCTCTGCCCCCCCTCAGCAGGTCTGTAATCTGTCACCGTGCTCCGTCTGCAGGGTACGTCATTTACAGAGTCAGAGTGCGCCGTGGAGGCCGCAAACGCCCTGTCCCCAAGGGAGCCACCTACGGCAAGCCGGTGCATCACGGCGTGAACCAGCTGAAATTCGCCCGCAGTCTGCAGTCCACCGCTGAGGTAGGAGAACGTCTGCAGATCCAGGCTCCTCTGGATCCACATCATCTCATGGTTTTAAAGTCAGAGGCGGCCCACAGCCTGCACTCACTCTGCCGTGTCGCAGCACTGAGGGCCTGCTAGTTCAGTGGTGGTTGATAGATCTGGATCTTCTAGATTCTTTAACTGTGGAGCAGCAGCTTGGTCATCAGTAGATCTAGGTGAAGCTGTCCAACCTTCTGGGTTGTTTATGCAGACCTCTGCTCACACCCAGTCTAACGGTTTATCTTCTAGAGAGCTGGAGCTTCTAGATCAGCACGTCTGTCCTGTTGGACACAACGGGTCAGATTAGGGCTGCAACTAACGGATTATCTGGCAAATAGATTTATCTGTCGATTACTTTTCAATGAATAATCAGATAGTTAAAGGTCCTTTAAAGAAGACGGTTGAAACAAACTTTTCCACCTGAGGAGGATGGAGCAGATTGACTGAAAGCTTTTAGTTCTTAAATGTTAACATTTGTTATGATCTCGGTATAATTCCTGCTCTAAGCGGGTCCCTCTGTCAGCTAAAGGCAGCTTTAACAGCCTCTATGCTCAGTTAGAGATTAATTACTAGATTAGTTCATTATTTCAGTAATGTATTTAACCAATTCTTTCAGTCCTAATCTAAACTCTCAGTAACTAATAACTAGCTTTGATTAAGGCCAGAATTCTGTGAAGTATTTCCACTTGATCAACAAACGGTTTTATTTTTGGTCCTTTTACCTGATTGGGTTAATTGCTGGAGGTAGAATGAGCAGAGAAGGTAATTATAGACGGTTCTACCTAGAAGCTACACTGTTGGTTCCTTCTGTTAGAAATCTTTTCACTCTGAGAGGAAGAAAAGTCTTCATGGTGTGAAAATAACTGGAAGCTAAACGGCGAAGATTCTCAGTCATCCCAAAAAAGTTAAACAATCCTCTGGACTTTGTTTCTGAACTTGAAGACGTTTCACTTCCCATCCAGCATCTATGCTAGGAGCATCTATGTTAGGAGAGAAAACAACCTTAATCGGGTGGGGGGGTTGCTCAGCTTTCATAAACCTGTAATGCAGTGATAGTTGACCCGTTCATCCGTTTCTATTTGCATGTTTTCTAAACTAAAACCAGGCTTTGTTGGGCTGCTGGATAAAACCTGGAACTAAACGCTATTTCTGACATTTTGGATTGAAGAAGCTTCCTGGATGGAAGAGAAACGTCTTTAAACCTGGAAACAAAGTCCAGAGGATTGATTTGAACTTTTTAGGCAAGCTTTTAGTAAAACCTTCCTGAAGTGAAGCAGCAGGAATGCTTTTCTTCTTCTCTGGTTTATTAACGTTGCTGCTTTCAGACGGGCTCAGACTGTGGATGAGACTGAAGGTCAGTGAGGTCATGTGACGTAGAGCGGTCGCTCCATCAGAGGGTTGGTTTGAAGATGCCTCCCTCCGGGGGGAGGGGCTTGGAGCTAAGCCATGCTCCTATTGGCTGAACTGGAGTCACTTCAGTCTGATTGGACGTCATCATAACCCTGACACTGGTTAGCTTAGCATGAATCAGGAAGTTCAGGTTTGGATCCTGGTCTGCCTCTTCTAACTAACCAGTTTGGGTCATCGTGGTCCATCTCAGCTGGACCACGATGGTGGGGTCAGACAGCTGTAGAGCACTTCTGTAGAACTGTGCTGCTCAGATTGGCCCTTTTCTCAGATGTTCTCCATCATTCCTGAACCGGGTCACTCTGAGCTCTCAGCTACCCTGGAGCCAAACTGTCCAGTGGAGGTTCGGCCCACATGTGGGTCTCTAGGTTCTGATGGAGCTGAAGCTGTGGGTCCAGAGGTTCTGATGGAGCTGAAGCTGTGGGTCCAGAGGTTCTGATGGAGCTGAAGCTGTGGGTCCAGAGGTTCTGATGGAGCTGAAGCTCTGGGTCCAGAGGTTCTGATGGAGCTGAAGCTGTGGGTCCAGAGGTTCTGATGGAGCTGAAGCTGTGGGTCCAGAGGTTCTGATGGTCTGATCTGTGTTCTGGTCCATGGTCTCCATGGGTTCTGAAGGACATGTCCTCTAACGTGTCTCTGTCCCACAGGAGCGCGCCGGCCGTCACTGCGGAGCCCTGCGCGTCCTCAACTCTTACTGGGTGGGCGAGGACTCCACCTACAAGTTCTTCGAGGTGATTCTGATCGACCCGTCCCACAAGGCCGTCAGACGGAACCCGGACACCCAGTGGATCACCAAGGCCGTGCACAAGCACAGAGAGATGCGCGGCCTGACGTCCGCCGGCAAGAAGAGCCGCGGCCTGGGCAAGGGTCACAAGTTCCACCTGACCATCGGAGGCTCCCGCCGCGCCGCCTGGAAGAGGCGCAACACCCTGCAGCTGCGCCGCTACCGCTAAGCCCCGCCCCCGTCTGTGTTGATCCAATAAAAACAGGCCTTCTATGGCAGCCGCCCTGTGTGGTTCTGATTCATTCAATGAGATCTTCAGGGGTTCTGGTTCCTGGTCGGTGGAGACGCCGGCCCCGGTTCTGACGCGGCGGCCGGCCCCGGTTCCTCAGCCTGCTGAAGGCCGTCCTGCAGGTTTCAGAGGTTTCTCTGCTCCAGCAGCTCGTTCTGATGATGGTAGGTCAGGAACAGCCTGTTGATGAGCTGAAGGAAGGAAACCTGAAACCTGCAGGACTAACTTTGGTTAGGCTGATCTAAGGCTGTAAGCCTGGGGGGTCTGAACCAGTCGGTCAGCGTTCCTCCTGAGCTGGACCAGAACCAGACTGGGAATCTGAAACGGTCAGAGGGGGACGACTGGGAAAGATGTGGAGAAAGTAGATGAAAATAATCAGATCTGCTGGTTAGAAAATAAAATAGGAGAAAGGGTCCAGTTATAAGATGTTAAATGGGAAGTGATGTCACACATTTATAGCTACTGAATGCTGAGCAGCGGTTAGGCTAGCTGCTGTTTGTTGCTTTTAACTCTCCTGTTGTCATGGTGATTTCAGTCATTAACTGCTGGGAAAATGAACACCAGAGTCTGGGTGGAACGGATCTTTGATCCTGATGGATCCGGTTCCCATCCTGGAGGAGGGACTCCTCCTACTGCAGCTTCTCTACCTTCTGGGTCCTTATTGGATCCATGTTGCTTTGAAGCTGTATCTCCTGCAGAGGCTGGAGTCGCATCAGGAAGCTCCGGATGGTCGCGTCCATCAGCCGTTAGAGGAGGAATCTGGAACGTTCCACCACAGGTCATTGTGACCTTCAGAGAAACGTCGGGTGTCTTCCAGTCGCTTGGAGATCCATGTTTCTCAGGTTGACGGTGCTGAACGACTGATTCGGATCATCAGCAAAGGCTTCCCTCCATAAGACGCCATCTTGATCTCTGGTCCAATAAATGCAGCAGTCAGAGCCTGAAGGCCGCTTCAGCGGCGTGCTCCCTCATGTTCTTAATTCCAGTTTTTAAATCTGGCCTTATTATATATAATAGTAGACCCCGCATTGACTGTAGCGGCGCAGGAATTACGGGCGCCATCTTGGGGAGGTCGACCTGCTTCACTAGCCTGCTGAACAGAAGGCGGCTGCCTCAGCACTGCAGCCTGTTTTAGTTTAGATCCACATACTGATGACATCACAGGTGGAGGGAGAACTTCCTGAAGGCATCAGAGCTTTGGAGACATTACTGAATAAACTGCAGATATACACTACATAGATTAGAAACTCTTTGTTGTCCCACTCTGGGGAAATAATGGCAGCTAAGATTACAGCTAAAGTGGTCACACAGAAATGGAGCTTAAAAAGTGCATAAAATAATAGAATAAGAGACAAAAAAAAATCCAATTTTATTTAAGCGCTTAAAAACAATCACAGCTGATCAAAGCTGTAAATAAATAAAACACTATAATAAAAAAACACCTAAAACATGAGTAAAAATAGCATCCACATAAATTATGAAGTATAAAAAATAAACATAAAATACTGTACAGTGTTTTTACAAATAAATACTGTACACCTGAAGAACAGATAACCAATATACAGCTGTGGACATTTCTACAGTGTTTTACAGCATATATATATATATAGCTATATATATATATATATATATGTATACACACTGTGTGCAGAATTATTAGGCAATGAGTATTTCCACCACATCATCCTTTTCATACATGTTGTCCTCCAAGCTGTAAAGGCCTGAAAGCCAACTACTAATGAAGTAAATCAGATGGTGTTCATCTCTGGAATGAGAAGTGAAAGTTTGGAAATATCCAAACTTGAAGCGGGATAATCGCACAATCAAGCGGTTCATGGCAAATAGCCAACAGGGGCGCAAGAAGAGTGTTGAAAAAAGAAGACTAAACTCCCCATGAATGTAGAAGGATGAAGCGTGAAGCTGCCAGGAAGCCATTAGCCACCAGTTGTTCCATATTTCAGAGCTGCTACATGTCTGGAGCACCCAGAAGCACAAGGTGCTCAATCCTCAGGGACCTGGCCAAGGTAAGGAAAGCTGAAAAAAGGCACCTTTGAACAAGACGCACGAGACAAAACGTCAAGATTGGGCCAAGAAATCTCTGCAGACTGATTCCTCCAAGGTGTTTGGGTCTGATGGAATGAGAGAGAGTCTAGATGGGCCAGATGGATGGATGGGCACCAGGCTGGATCAGGAAAGGGCAGCAAGTTCCTTATCCACTCAGCCGCCAGCAAGGTGGAGGTTGGTTAATGCT